ATCAATTTGACCAGCTTTAAAGCTTTACATGGTACACCATATTTAACAAATATAATATACAAAAAGTAACTTTTCATATTATTTTTATTATTTGAAACTGAAGATGAGTTTTGAACTATAACAAAGAAGTGATTTTTTTCAATTCTGTTAATTTATTCCATAGTTTTTCTCCGAACAGAAACACACCTTGATTTCACTTTTGTTCTTGCTTTAACACATTCAAAAATAAATATACCTCTGAGATTGTATCATTTTTTTAATTATGAAAAAGCTCAAGATACACTTTGAGATGTTGTTGTTAATTACCCTACAAAGAATCTTTAACTTTTCAACTTTTACAGTATTACATAGTTGTGAGGTTTTATTTAGTATAAATGACTTATTGGTGCAAGATATCTCTCTTTACTCACTTTTCTCAGAGCCTTTTTATATTTATAATTTCTGTATAGAAATTTGCTGCGTTTCCCCAAATCTCTGCACGGTATAAATAAAGCACTAAAGAACAATACATTGGAAACAGAGCCTTTTTTGTTTAATATGTCTCTTTGTTTTGTTGAGAATAGAAATGGACTGAGATTCCAACTGAGATTATGAGCTCACCGAGGAACATGGTTTCATATACTCTTTCAATTTCCACTCCATTCAAATATATATTAGCAATTTCTCTTTTTTTACTGAAAATGTCATGAGGACCGAGCCTTGTGGCATTCCAGATGTCACTTTCACAACATGAGTCCATATTATTGAAGTTTACATATTGAGATCTTGAATTTAAATAACTTTCTAGCCATTGGTTTGTTTTTCCACGTACTGTAGACCAGAATATTCACATTTTTAAGCAGATTAGTATGATTGATTGTATAAATTGCCTTGGTTGAATCAATATAATCACCAACTGTAATTAATTAATTTTTGGTCAACTTCGTTTGCAACATGTTCTGTAAATGTCATTGCTGCTAAGTCTAATTGCAAGTATTTTTCAAGCATTTTCGAGAGTTCTGAGAGCGGGTCCATGGGTCTATGATTGGACTCTAATTGTTTAATGCCACTTTTGTAAATTGGAAGGACTTTGTAAATTGGAATGGCTAATTATATTTTATCAAGAAAAGTTCCACTCACAAAAGATTGGTTACAAATAAGAGATTGGTTCGATGAAACAGTGGATGACTTCCATATCTATCTCATGGCAATCTGTGGATTTTTATTTTGTATTTTGTGAACTACTTGTAACACATCACTTTGAATTGCACCACTCAGAAACATGGTTTTACTGTTATTGGTGATTCATATCAGTAACTTTGGACAACTGTTCAGCTAGTCTGGGGCGCACATTTACAAAAGAGATATTGGAATTATTCGCAATATTCGTTCTGTTTTCAAATCTTTTTTTTAAGTCTGTATTTTTTATTTTTTGCTTGTTATTTTTGTTAATTTGTTTATAACTGCCCTTGTGCAACTACAGTATGCTTCCAAAGTAGCTTATCATATATATATTTTTTTAATTTCTTATTATTATTATTACTGTATTCTGTTTTTATATTCCATGTGCCGTTCTTCTTTTTCCTTGGTTGGATTTTTAATATTGTAGTTTACCTTTTTCCAAACCCTTAGACATCCATGCTGTTCTTCATCATTCATTCTCAAAACAAATATTTTATTATTCATTAACATAAACATAAGTCAAAGTTCAAAGTAAATATAATACTTTGAACACATTTCTTTTCTTTGAAATACTTCACCACTGTTTCATTTCAATCACAGCAAATACAGGCAAATGATCTGGAACAGGCCACTTTTTATCTTGGCTCTGGTTTCATTTAGAAATATTGTATCAACCGACGTGACGCTATCTGTTGTCATCCTGTACTCGGCCTTAACATTAATGGATAGAAACACAAACTATGCATCATATTTAGAAACTGTCGCCCAAATAACTCTCTAATGGTGTCATTTATAGAAGAACCAGGACTGATTTTTTTGCATTTGATCTCTGCTGACAAACAATTCCTGTCTGGTCTCTGGTCTCTGGTCCCTCTCTCTGGTCTCTCTCTGGTTTCTCTCTGGTCTCTCTTTGGTCTCTCTCTGGTCTCTCTCTCTGGTCTCTCTTCGGTCACTCTCTCTGGTCTCTTTCTGGTCACTCTCTCTGATCTCTCTGGTCACTCTCTCTGGTCTCTCTCTGGTCTGTCTCCGGTCCCTCTCTTTTCAGCAGTCGTGAGTTCAGGTGGTTAGAAAAGTGTGGATAGAGTGTGGGAAGGGGTTTTACATTCTTCCAACATAGAGCTGCTACTTCAAGGATTTCACGTATTGAGGGTTATTTTTAGAACACATCACCCCTGCAATAAACCAGGGACCAGTGTATTTCAGAGAATGACAGGAGCACGGGTGTCTCTATATTACTGGGCTCTAAAGCAAAATGTACCTGCGAATAGCTGACAACAACCGTCACGGGCCTCGATGTTACCTCTAGGACAATGATCCATGAAACTGTAGAACAAATATTAAACCACACGTGAAAACCTCGTCTGATGATTCGACAGCAATAACACTGCATCGTGTTCGACATATCGCTCTGTTCTGTTAGAAGCAATAAAAGATGTTGTTGAGACCTGCTTCCTCTCAAAGCCAGAGCTGGAGAGGGCCGTTCATGTGTGTTCAGGGCAGAACCACTCCTGTTGGAATTGCTCAAATATTTAGCAAAATATTGACCATTTCTTTCTCTTTCATCCAAAACTGACCTGGAGTCTTGTAAGAGTCAATTGTAGTGAATACATCAGACCTCAGCATCTGTCTCTGTCTCATCAGAAAAAATGTTATGTGAGCCACTTTTTGACTCTCTGGGTTGGATGCTGTGGGTGGTTCTCTCTTTTTCACTTTTCTGTTTTAAACATTATCTGAAGATGTGACAGAGGCCAAACTGTTACAGCCCATGGCCTGTAATTCCCTATTTTAGGGATCACTTTAGTTTCTCCCGTGGCGTCTCCGTGTGTTTGTGTTTCCTCCCTTTTTCAGAAGACCACGCCAGTGAGTTCTGGGGTCCAATTGGCCAGTCATTCCCCATCTGGAGCTGATTGACTGCGATGCCTGGGTGCTGATTGGGCAGCAGCTGAGACAGTCCTCCAATCAGCGCACGCTCACCTGGAAGACCCGCCCTTATAAGCTGCCAGTCTTCCGCGGCTCAGGGCAGCTGGAGTTAGTGGACTCCAGTTCGCCATTTAGTTTTGTCTTTGTCCAGTTACACCTATTTTGTCATTCTTATAAATTATGATTTTAGTTACCATTTAAAATCTTGGTTATTTTTTTACTTCCTTACATCTAAGCTGAGCTGGGTTGTAACACAAACATGTAAAATTAAGGTTTTTGTCTATATATATATATATATATATATATATATATACAAATTTCATTTCATACTAAGGTCTGGATTTGCTCCATTGAGCTCCGTGAACAGGTGGGAGGGGTTAACTCCTTTTGCAGATTGAAACGATTGGATCTGAGTTTACCGTGACGTATGTACAGTAGGTCCCATTCCGTTTTGTCGCCTTTCACGCGTGAATCACACGTGAGTCTCGTGTGATTCACGCGTCTTTTATTTTCCCCCCTCCCAGTGATGCTGCAATGACCAAAACAACCACCAGGTGGCACTTGTGAGCAGGGTTACATTGGCGAGTTTCTGCCCCGCACACAATGACAATCTGTCATTGATCCATGCTCCCAGCAGACTCGAACGAACACGAAGTGGAACGTGAAGTTTAATGTAAGTAACTTTTCAATTGTTTTTCATGTGACAGTATATTCATTATTGTCTTTGGGTTGTGTTGCATTGTACACATGTCGTCATTGCGTCACATCAGCGTCGGCTAACATTATATTTTTAGATGCTAGGTATTTTTTCTCCTGCGTCAAAATGGAACTGAGAGATATTCAACTTTTCGTCACATGAAACAAGGCATAGCCTATGCTATGTTATCTAACGCTGGTTTAAAACTCAATTGAATATTAGTTTAGCGTTAATCGGACTAATTTCCATCCGCGGGAAATAAGGCACATGGTGTTTGCTAGCTTAGTTAAACAAGTTAACCATTTGAAAAGAACTAAATAATTTATTTTCTCATTTTCCTTGGAAGTAACACAAGGCTACGCAATGTAAGCAAATAAGTATAATACAGCTCGGAAACTTGTGTTGAAACAATCGCGTCAAATACTACAGTTCCCATCATGCTTTTGCTTTGTCACGTGTCCTCCTCAAACAACAACAAGCACAGGCATGCCTTTATTTAGCAAAGAGTTTGGTCTCGTTTCTCAAACGTAAATCTGGGCTGTGTACAGAGGACTGCGTGCTTCGGTATGTACAAACGACGCTGCGCGTGATTTGATTCATAGCGTAGTTAATGTTGTAGCGTAGCTTCTTCTGAGGCCAGTTTTCATTACTTTCATGACTGTCTTTCTTATATCGCTATGCACTCCACTAAACATGGCTGATACTTAGTTATTATTGCTTAACAAGTAGATACGTCTTTCCGTTTTTTTCGTTTGGAGACTGAAAATATATCCCAAAGCATTTATGTTCCCCCCGTGCAACTAAAATTGTATGAATTATTTGTGAATTTAGACAATTAAATAATAATTATGTGAACATTGTGAAATTAATCACAAGTAATGTAATGTTACAGTATATTTGACAATTTATAAATATTACATTATTTATATATTATACTGTAATGTTAAAGTATATTTTACAATTTTCTTTCAGATTCAGGAGAGAAGTGCTGATATTGACACCAGATCTTATACCCACCACTTCTACTTTGGTAGCTTCAATCAGGTAAAAATGTAACTATACATTTGGGGTTTGACCTAACTGGGCCCTTCCCCAAAACTACTGATGGCTATCAGTACATATTTACAGCCACTGATTATTTTTCAAAGTGGGTAGAGGCTTTCCCATTGAAAACCAAGACGGCTGCGGAGGTTGGGCAAAGACTTTGCTCTATAATATACAGGCATGGGTGCCCGAAACGGATCCTGTCTGATCAAGGGCGGGATTTTGTAAATGAGGTGAATATTGCTTTTTGTAGTTGTTACTTTTTTTTGTTCATACTTTCTTATTCATTTAATTTTCATTGTTTTAGCTCAATGATTCTCTGTGCTCTCTGCTGGGCATTGAGAGAAGCGTCACCGCTGCGTACCACCCACAGACTAATGGGTTGGACGAAAAGACCAACCACAACATCAAGAGGCAAGAAAGATATGTATAATTTAATCATGTGAAGCACACATTAAATATATGACTGATGGCAAACCCTACATGTTTTAATTTCCCCCATTTAAACAATGTTCGGAATGTCTTTCTCAGAGCTTTGATGAAGTTGGTGAATGAGCAGCAGAACAACTGGGACACATTCCTTGATGCCACACTGTTCTCTTTGAGGTCAAAGGTGCACATCTCAACCAAACACACCCCATTCCAGTTGATGTATGGGCGGGAGGCTGTGTTCCCCTCAGAGGTGCCTGTAGATTATCCTGTAAGTTCCATTCGTTCAATTGTTGGGTTACACAGAGGGGGAAGAAGCTGGACAAGGTCATCAGTAAGTTCAGCTCAGTCATGGGCTGTTCCCAGTGCAGCAGGTGGGGGACCATGACTGTCACCCCCTGCAGGACACTCTGCTCTGGAGAGCAGCTTCAGTGAGAGCTATTCATCCTCTATGTGTGAAGAAGAGGTTGCACAGGTCTTTCCTTCCTGCCGCTGTCAGACTGTACTGTGAGAACTGCTGAGCCTGTACATGTCATCTCGTCTGTAAATAAGTAGTAAGTAAATACTGTAACAATCACATTTTCCCACTGTGGGACAAATTATACCTTATTTTATTTAGGAGACAATCATGGCACTTTCTTGACCCACCAATCAAAAACAAGTGGAGGAAAAATCAAGAGGCTTTTGGAGGATTTGAAGAAGGGAAAAATAGCAGATTCACCAGGTAGGGATAGTAATGTCAGTAATATTTGTTACTTTGCATCTAACGTTTTTCCAATGCTTTTAGGACACTGCCAAATGTGACAGCTACACACCAATGGAACTTGAGAGTGAGAAGGCGCTTGACATACAAACAGAACAGGTATGTCTAGTAGTAAATATTACAATTTATTGTATTTTCATTATAAATTAAAACTTTTGTGTTTCCTTAGAGCAATGAGGTAGGAGGGAGTTTTTACATGGAAAAAGTCTTGAAGCGGACTATAGTGTCACTGATTGTCACACGCAAGTCAAAACATTTCTCTTGTAACCAAATTCATTGTTTTCTCAGGGTATGCCCCATTGTACAAAGAAGAGCTAAATGAACAACTGATTGCCTAAAGATGTGCAGAAACCCGTCTCCGAGCACCAGACATCACAGCTGAAGCGTTATTCTTTGTAATAATTAAGAATACAAATCCTGTTAACATTGAAACTTTTTTTTGCAGGCTTTTTTGGGCAGGAATGCACTTGAATGAAAATGTCAAACGTGGGCAAGATTCTTCAAAGGGGCAGTCTTTATTCAAAGTTCCAACCCAAAGTACAACAAAGGAAAGCAAACAGCAAAGCCAACACTTGGTAAAGAAATAATACTGTACAAACATTACAGTACAATAACTTAATAATATATTATTACAGAGGCTGACCAGGACAGAAAGCCAACGCACTGGCCTTCAGGATCTGTGAACTCTTCGCGTATCCTGAGCACATCACATGCAGGAATGACCTGGCTCCCAGTCGTCCCGAGCACCAGCTAACCAACTCCACAAATCTGAGACTCCTGTGGAATTGGACACGTATGTTAATTATTGTAATTTGCTGTTTGCGTAGTGCACCCCTGCCCTGGGAGCTGCCTCAGTCCTCGTTCTGCTGCCCAGTCCCCGCCCTGCGCCCTGGTCCATGTTCTGTAGCTTCGAAGTATTTCAGAAGATTTTCTTACATTTAGATGCATTTAAGCCATCCCGAAAATACAAACACTGAAAGTCAAGCTACTGTCCAAAACATAAGAGAAGCAATTTTGTTCAGCATAAGAGAAAAGGCCACAGATTTTATATAATTTGATGTTGTTACTTTAGCTTAGACTCTAGCTTAGACTAGAATATGAAAATTAGTCATTAAAACATGGACATGTTAAATTAATTGACTATTCTTGAATCTAGATAACGTCCTCATGTAACAGTGTTTTAATTAGGGAAAATGTGAAAGAGCCGACCACTTCTAAAATTACCTCGGTCTGGAGCCATTGAGATTTACTGCG